GAATTTCACAAGGAGATGTTTTTTAATAAGTGTCACTACCGATGTCAGTCCAATAGAAGGGACAGTTCCAAAAAGTTGGTTGGCTGCCTTCTTAGGTAGTGAATCAGCAACACAGTTACCTTTCAATGTGGCTTGACTTTTGATCCATCTTAAGGTGACAACATTGTTGATGGATATTTCGGGTAAAGTTCCGTGACATTCTAGTACTAACCCTGAGTAAAGTCATGGTCTGTTCAGGATGAGTAGTGCTTGTCTGCTATCTGTATAGATGAGCATGTATGTTCCTTCCAGTGAAATTGGTTCTGGTAATTTCTTTTGCAGCTATGAGAATCCCAGTGAGCTCGGTTTGAACTACACTGGCACTATTGCTCACAACCCATTTTATGTTTAGGTTTAAGGATCTGAAATATATTTTACATCCTCAGCCTTGTTTTATTTTAGAACCGTCGGTGTAGATATGAATCGTATCTGCCACTTCCGGCTCTTCTATTTGTGTTCTAACTTTATATAGCTTATGGAAGATATATCTCGGTGAGATGTAGATGGTTTTATCAAAAGCACCTTCTATGTCTATGAAAACACCCAAGGCGGACTCCTTATTGTCCTGGGATCTCTCTATATGGTCAGCAACTAGATGAAGGGCTGAATCAGTAGATCTGCCTGGGGTGTATGCATATTGGTTTGGGTGTAGTAGTGTTGTCGTAATCACCACATCTCTTATGTACCTTTCACATAGCCGTTCCAATGTCTTCATGGGAAACGATGTCAGACTAATTGGTCGGTATGTTTTTGGGATGTAATTCATCCTTTCAGGTTTGGGTATGAATACCACTTTTATCTCTCTTCATTTTTTGGGGATATACCTCAGAGCCAATGAGGATCTGAATATACCCACCAGGTGCAGTGTAAGTTCTTCCAGACCTCACTCTAGTAGAGCTGGATAAATACCGTCAGGTCCTGGCGATTTAAATAGATATTGCCCATCTAATTTTTCATCGTCTACAATGTGTTTGGCAGTTTGCCCATCATAGACAGATGGGTTGTATTCTTCGTCTGCCCAGTCGGACGTGTCTGTGATGACCGAGTCAGGGAAGTGTGCTAACAGCAGAAGTTTGATGCTATCTTCGAGGTTGGCAGTTTTCGTAGCATCCTCTTTGATTAGCGCACCAATGCTTCGGTGTGGATCTGTTGAGAGAGCTTTTTGAAGCCCGCTGCCTGTGGGAAATCTTCGATTTCTTCACAGTAGGATCTCCATGCATCTCTCTATTTTTGTCTGACGATTTTTTTGTATTCTCTGAGGTGAGATTTGTAAGTATCCCAGTCCTCTTTGAGTTTTGTGGTTCTTGCCTTATTATTCCTAGTCATATTTCTGTGGGACCATGCGTGTTGTTGTTGAGGTCACCAATGTGGGAAATTTTAATTTCTTGATCCCATCATAAATTATTTGTAGATGAATGTAAAATTTATTTATTGTAGATAAAGAACGGATGACATGTCATGTATAGTAAAAAATATAAAAAGTCATTCCATAAATATTCGATCGTGGCAACGGACGTTGCCAAGGAAGTGAATTTAACCTTTCATTACCAAAGCTACCACATAATGAAGGGTACTTGAAAAAGGTGATGAGTTTGTACTTATGAAGCTAGCTAAGGTAGGAAGGTATGTAGTGCAACTGAGGCACTACAATACTTTCCCCCCTTTTTTAAGTATATGTGTTAATTAGAGGTTTTAAATAAATTTTTGTGTTTGAATAGTTCAGTATTGTTTCCTAAGAGTATTATTTGTAAGTGTTTGGTTAATAATAGTTTTGTTGATACCCATTAGTAATTGCTAGGTATCCGATAGGTTCTTTCTACTTGAAGAATACTACCGTTGATACCATTTTAGTCAATTACTCTTGTTTTATACCAGGACGTCACATTGTCCTAGGTAGAAAAGCCAAGGTCAATTACGGTCCTTTCGCATATATGTGTGGGTACTCGAGTCCTTTAGCATGTGGCCGATTTGGCCTTTATCATGTGGACACATGTTACTTTAGCACATATATGTAGATTGTGTCCTGTGCAAAATGCTAATTGCATGTGTTTTGTATGTGTTATGTTTTTGTATTACGTTTGTCCATTAGGTTTTGTATTATTTGTTGTGTGATTTAAAAGAAATGATATATTTGTTTTTGGAAAAAGTGTTTAGTTAAAATTAGAGTGTCGCAGCCAGTAGAAAGGTAAAACTCTCTCCTGTATATTGCAAGAAGCTGGTCTTTGCCACCGCTGCTTTTGCTGCTGCTATTGCCGTTGCTTCTGCAGTTCCGTAGTGGTTTCTATGGCTGGTTTTACTGCTGTTATTGCCGTTGCTGCTGCAGCTCCGTAGTGGTTTCTATGAGTGGTTACATCGGAAGTGCGTTTCTCTTGGGGTTACCAATGTAGGTTCCATGCGTGTTGTCGGGGTCACCAATGTGGGAACTTTTAATGTGTTGATCCCATCAAAAATATGTAATACAATTAGAGATATTTTTAGCAAAAGTATGACAATTATGTATAAAGTAAAAAATATAGTCATAATGATCATCCATAAATATTCGATCGTGGCGTGTCGTGGCAACGGGCGTTGCCAAGGAAGTGAATTTAACCTTTCATTACCAAAGCCACCACATAATGAAGGGTACTTGATAAAGGTGATGAGTTTGTACTCATGAAGCTTGGCTAAGGTAGGAAGGTATGAGGTGATCTAACTCGTGACACCACCATGTGGTAGTCGTCTGATCGTGTTGGACCAGCCTCAGAGGACAGGTTTTCTTATAGGAATTGTTTATTATGCTTTGGATAGTGTTCGAGTACTTCTCCAAAGCATTGTTATTGTTTGGTGTTTCGGCCTCTTTCTCTATCAGAGTCTCTTGGAGAAGGTGGCATAGCGTCCGTCTTCCTAGCGTTCCAAGATAGTGTGGAGGTCGGCAACATCAAGTTTATTTTGAATGTTAACCAGCGGTGGTCTGACATCAAAATGTTATCAGAGACTTCCCAGTTTAGAATTTATTTATATATACCAGTTGTGGATAAAGTGATATCTATTAGTTTTTGCTGTGAGAGTTTAAAAATGTTGGTGTAGTACCTTTATTCAAGAAACAAAGATTTTTGGTAATTATATAATCATAAAGTGACTTACCTCTAGCGTTGTTATCCTTACAGCCCCAACTGAAGTGATGAGCGTTTAAGTTGCAACCTATTACCAGCTCAAACTTCTGTTCCAGGCAGTACTCAATCAGATCCTCCATCTCTTTACTGGGTGGTGTCGTAGTTGCATCGGAGGGGAGATATGCAGATGCCTTTTGATAGCGTATTCTATCCTAACCGCAGTTAAATCGGAGGTAGAAAGGTGTGCTATTGAGTAGGAATTTAAATGGGTGTCCTAGGTTGTTGGTTACTGGGAATGGTAAAAATTGAACCATATAGATTTTTAAGGCCTAAAATTTTGGTTTTTATGATCCAGGGTTCCTGGATGAGTGCTATTGTATCTTGCAGCTCATCAAGGTGGTGGCATAATGTTGCCTTAGCCACCCTTTTGTGCTGCAGGTTACATCGTTACCTCTTTTATTGCTTCCCGGTCCTCCGTTAAAAATTGGGCAGTAAGGTGGTCATTTATTCGACCATCCTTTCCTCCGAAAATGGGGAGAGGGTGATCTCTTGCGGCTCCTTGGAGTTTTCTTGCTGAATGTCACCAATTACCACTTTTTCTGGGTCGACGTTCTCCACTGTTGGCTTAAATTGGGGGGAAGAGGGTTCTTTACCAAGGAGTCTTCACTGGGCCCCGCTTCAGCCTCTTTTTCGACCTTTGGCCTTATATGAGGTGAACGCATAGCTCATCCTCATTAATTTAACCTTTAGGGTTCCCATGTTTTCGTCTCCGATGCCAAAGACTTAAAGATGGCCCTCAGGGTCTTTTTTGATTTCATGGTGGAAGGTGCACGGTTTCCCTACATGCAAGTTTGGGTTTTGCCCCTCAAGTCGCCTGAGCACAACCTCTTTTTTTTTGTCAAGTTCAGCTTGTGCTTCCCCTGGGATCCAGAGAGAGGCTTTGGTGAGCTTGGGGAGCTCGTCCATCCTTACAACTGCGAGTGTTGCTCCTTCCCATGTTTTTAAGGTTGGTACCTTGGTTTATAGCCATTCCAACGTCAGGTCATCATTGCACGTTACTCTGAGTTTCCAACAGTATTTAGTTTGACTACAAAAGTGATGAGTGTATAAAAACAACGTCGATATAGTCATTTTCAACCCCTCTAATGCAAATGGTAATGGTTGGCAACGAGGTATAGAAAATAATATTAAATTATTATCTATCGATCAGAGAAAATTTTTCAAAAAAGTGATGGGTGAAGGGTGGCACATTTTTTAAATTGTTAACAATTTTTTATAAAGTAAAACGCAAACGATATACGCGCGGCTGCTAACGGATTTCTATTGCACAATAATATGTTATCTGATGTTTCCATAAAAATTTAGCCATACTAGTGATCGGACCAACATTTTGCAGTAGACTCCTCTACTATTCTATGCATTTAAGAATACTTCTCAGATAGTTTTATTTTTAGCAACAACCTATCGCCATCATTTGAAAGAAGGTATTCCTTAAAACATGTTCAGGTAAATGAAAAATTTTATTTTATAAATTTAAATAGCTGGTATTTTGGTGTGGTGCATTGCAGCAAGTGGAAAAGTGTGGTAATCACTCCTAAAGCAGTAGGTCTAGCATGGTGGAATTCGAACATGTGATTTAAAGGTCACTAGCTCCAAACCCTATACTGTCCTATACTATTTAACTTGTAAGTTCAAAATGAAACCAGTGAAATAGAAATGTTAAACTCTCTTTTAAAGCTCGCCCTCCTGTTACAATGATAGTGAGTTTGTCATGAACATATTTGATATATTAAGTAGATAAAAACTGCATTTTCTTTATGTATTTAAAGACATCATAGCACAAAGTTAGTAATAATCAATAACACTTACCCTTTGAGGACCCATGGGTGCACGCCAAAGATAGACAAACATTTAATAAATAGCACAGCAAAAATAGGAACAAATAGGAATGTAAATAATTGAATAAAACTATGAAGTTTATACTGTTGCAAGGTTCTAAAAATACTGTCTGTTTTTAAAGACAATCCGCTTATTAAAAAAATAATAAACACAGCTCCATATTTAACTGTATATTCTGTTCGTAAAGGACCTAAAAATATAAACTTAATTAAAAAAAATTGTTTACTGGTACCTGAGAATTGAGATACCTTGTTTTGAACCAAGTTTGGGGTAAATACCAGCTACAAAAATGCAACAAAGTATACCAACTAAAAGCCAATTTTTCTGTAAAAATCGGAGTGGGGTAATTCGATACCTCATTATTTAAATTTTATTAAATAAAACTAAAAAAAACAATTTAATTTATCCAAAAACATATTGGGGTTATGGTTTTGTTTTCTCACGAGATGTCAAACATCAGCTGATTCAATTGGCTGAATAACCGAATTGTGGCTATTTGCCAAATTTCATTTTTAAATAATGTAAGGATTGTAGAATTATGTACCTTTAATTAAATTATTAATTGATCGGCGAAAAGCTTTTAAATAAATATTTGCTCTAATATGTATTTATTACTGAATAATGGTTTTTAATAGACCATCTTTAATTATAGGCCCTTGTCCTTTGTCTAATGGAGTCATAGGTCAATTTTGATTGTTTTGATTGTATTCTAATCATAGATTACTAATAATAGGTCTTTTCCTTTGCATCGAAAGTGTAGCACTGGGCTACACCAATTCTGAAAATATCGTTCCATATATACAAATTGTATGGATGGAACGATATTTTCAGAAGTGACGTAGCTCAGTGCTACACTTTCGATGCCATTTCGATGCAAAGGAAAAGACCTATTAATTACCAATCTCAAATGGTAAATACCAAATGCTTTTGGTTATTCGCTTAAAATTGACTCTAATTGTTTGACAGGTCGTTGGAATGCCTAATTATTTTGGTCAACCAAAAAACATTTATTGTTAACCTCACTATTTGTTAAACATCTAATAAAAAAATATAATATTTTATTATATATATGACGATAGAATCAAAGGTTATTCGTAACTTTATTATGGGTTTAGGTTAATCGGTTTAACATGTCTCAAGATTCTAAAGGATTTATAGCTGCATTAGATGTGGGAACTACTACTATAAAATGTCACATTATTAATTCTAACGCTAGATCTGTTGGATTTGCTACAGAAATTGTAAGTGTGTTATTATGTTGATTGTGCAATGGATATTGTGAATTTAAAAATTGGTTATAGGTAAATAATGCTTATTTTTCAATGAATAAACTGGTTTCCATTTAATGTTCTTAATAGATTTAGCAAATAATGCCTATTTCGATAGTTTCTATTCATTGGAAAACAACTATATGGTAAATGGTTTATCCAGTGCCCATCCCTGTTTTCACACTCACTCATTGGAAAGTAAACACTGCTTTCAATTTTTAAGTAAAAGATTAGGTATTTATACTGTCCATTGTTATTTTATAGGTAAAACTGCATTATCCCCAGCCTGGTTGGGTTGAAATAGAGCCTAACGAGTTTTTTGATAGTATTTTAAATGTGATACGTCGAGCCATCAAAAGTAAGTAATATATTTTTATATTCTTATATCTTTAATATTATATCAATTAAACAGTTCATGAAGGTGCAATGTTGGGCTGATCAAAAACAAAAAATCAGATATGACATACCCATGGGCGTCGTTTGGGGGGGGGGAGGGGGCAGTTGCCCCCCCTGGCTTTTACGACCTAATCAACAACGCGTAAGATATGCATTAGGAACAACAATCTCATAGAAATAATAATATTCAGGCTAATATAGTTGAAGAATATTATAAGTTGAATATTATAATAATAATAATAAACGTACTTTATTGGCATAACCAACTGGCCAGCGACCGAAGTCCTTCAGCCTGATAATAACATTGTGATTAGTTATAATAATAATAATAATAATATACAATATGTAACATATCTTAAAAAAAAAAAAATCAATGAATTAAATTTTGCACAAGTTTGTTTATGTCTTAAAGGTCCCAGTGTGATGTGATATATTCCCATACGGTAGTTTCAGGAAACTTCCTCTTGACATGCCTGAGAGGATCACGGAGTCTGCATAGCGGTTCAAGTATATTTATAGTCTCTTCTTTTTCACAGAATTTCTGAGTCAAATTTATTAATCGCTGCTTTATAGGTTTTACCTGTGTAATATCATAGAGAAGGGCATTAGGTGGATTATGTAATGGGTGTCTTGATTTAGTGATGGATCATAATGTAGTTGTTTCAGTGTTTCATAATTTTTTAGTGTGGCTTTGCTTGCATTTATGTATATTGGATGGCAATACTCTAGTATAGGTCTGCATATTGTTTTGTAGATATGAGCAGCAGTTTTCTGGGATATGCCTTCTTTTTTATATGTTAAACTTCTAAAATATTTTGCTCTTGTTATACATTGTTTCTTTACTTCAGAAGTGTGTTGCTTGAAATTTAGTTTTTGATCCATTTAGTTTATGTACATTTATATTGTGACTAATTAGGCTTGTGTCATCTGCATATTGTAGTATGTACAAATCCGTGTTTATATTGTTATTTCTTTGATCAAAATTGAATATGTCATGACAATATAGATTGTATAAAGTTGGGGACAAGGGTGAACCTTGCGGCACTCCCTGTTGAGGGGTGAATGTTTGTGAGTATATATTGTTTATTTTTACTACTACTTTTCTATTGCACAGATAATTTTGGAGTAAGAAAATGATGTATTTAGGACTGTTCATTAACCACAGTTTGTATAGAAGTCCTTGATGCCATACGCTGTCGAAAGCTTTGTTAATGTCCAGAAACACTGCTGCACTACACTCGCCTTTTAGTTTCACGGTTTGTACATTGGAAGTTATTACTGTTACCAGATGTACTGTCGAACGTTTGTCTCGAAATCCAAACTGATATACTGGGAATTTGTGACCGTTTTCTTCGACTAGAATGTCTTTGATGATTGTTTCAAAGTTTTTACTTAACACTGATAGAAGGGTAATAGGTCTGTAGTTCTTTGGTTCCTTGTGGCATGTATTTGGTTTAGGAATTGTGATTATGATTCCATGTTTCCATTCGGGAGGAAAATACGTATGATTAAGGCAGTATTCATAAATGTTTTTTATGTGCATGTGTATAATATAATCTAGTTTTCTTAGTATGTTCTTGTTAACTATGTCATGTCCTGGTGTTGTACTTTTCCCCTTATACACTATTTTGAAATATGAATCTTCATCTATTTGCCTATTTCCAATGTTGGGTGTGTTACTAAAATATGTTTCATGCCATGTTGTGACTAGTTCATAATGTATGTTATCAAATTGAGGGCTGTTGTCTTCAATAAAAGCATCCCTGAAATGATCTGCAAAAATGGCTGCTTTTTCTTCATCTGTTTCGAATTTTTGGCCGTTCTTTTCCAATTGGGGTATCTGGGGTGTTTGCTTATATTTTGATAATTTTTTAATTTGTTGCCAGTATTTTTTTCCTTGTTTTTCGTTTATCTCATTGCAAACAGTTGTCCATTTATGTTCTTTGTAATGTTTTATAATAGTTTTAATATCTTTGCCATAACCGTTAATTTGATGTTTGGCTTCCTCACTAGGATTGTTTAAATAGTCTCTGTACATTTTTCTTTTGTTTTTTATTAATTTTATAATGAATGGCGGTAGTTCATAATTATAATAATTAACTTTTTCTTTAGGTGAGTTGTTCATAATGGTATTGGTTAATTTATCATTAAATTGTGTTATTATTTCGGGGTTCATTGGCCTATTGGCTATTTCTGTGATGTATTGCAGCATTGTTTCATTGACAGTGTCTATATTACATTTGTTGATATTTATTCTGTGTTCCTCTTGATAGTTAATAGTTTTGTTTAGGTCTATTGAAACTTCTATAGCAGAGTGTTCACAACACAGATCCTGATTTGTTTCAATTTTTGTTATATTGCTTTCTATGTTTTTTGTATATAACATCAGATCAGGAGTAGTGTCTTCATTATTATTCATATGAAATGTTGATGGAGTTATTGCCTTTTTGAACTGACTATTTTTTGTAAAATCCTGTATCTGCTTGTTCTTGGCTTTGTTAATGTTAAAGTCTCCAATAATTATACAGTACTTGTATAGTGCAGCTTTATTAAAGATAGTTTGTTCTATTACTGAATTGGGATGTACATATACCAAAATAATATGTAGTCTGTCTTCTAAGTAGGGAACAACCAGTTAATCCTAAAGACCAACGCTCGTCACCAAATGTAACAACCAGTTAGCCTAAAGACCATTTGTAACTACTGATAGGTCTTTAGCTACTGTTGTTAATATACTATTAAGGGATTAGGGCAGCGCCTGTCACCAGCCAAAGGGTCCTGGAGTCCTTAAGGAACATCCATTCGCCAGTGGCAAAATAAAATAATAAAAGAAAATAATAAAATTACAAAAAAAACATCCCTTAATAGCATATGTCGAGCGGTTCTTGGCAACTAGTTTTAGACTCTTTTAGTCCTAAGGGAATAGAAACGCCGAGGCTTCTCAAATGCTCGGAGTATTTTGCTGGTTTGGGAAGGGAGGAGAAATTAATAATAAGTATTAAAACCTTAACAAATGTATATTAACAATAAATATAAAACTTGACAAATAGTCTTCAGAAAAATGAGTAAAATTCCATTTAGGGAATAAAGTACTATAATTAATAGTAATAAAGATATGCATAAAATATAATTAGGGACGAAAATGTAAAATTGGCATTTATATGTAAATCAATTATTATTAAACAAAATTAAGTTAAAATATTTACCCATAATTCACATCGTACACAAAAAACTTTACACATTACTTTACAATAAAAAAACCAGGGTTTCGCCCGAGGGGCGAAAGTTCTGGACCTTAGTCCGAACCCGACTGAGCCCTTCCCCCAAGTGATCCTTTCTATATAAACCAAAATTTATGTGACTGTTGATTGTATTTTACAATGTCACGTTCAATGTAAATTAATAAGATGAAGGTTTGTTTCATTGTCATAAGTGTCTTTTTAATTATTTAATTTAAACATTAAATACTTGTTTAGAATTTTTGGTAAATTCTTTAGATTTTTCAATTAATAATAATGCCAATTATTACATTATTCCCCCGACAGAAAAAAAATTGAACTACTTGTTCAATTCTTTTTAAAACCCTTAATGTAAATAATTTACAAAAATTTTTAAAACAATCTACAATAATATGATAACCTCACGCTTGCTTCACTGCACAAGTTGTATCTTCTTTGGTCTTCTTAATTGGCTGACCGTAGCTACCCTTTCCTTTCTGGCTGTCACCTCTCATCATCCCCTGATCCTTGACCTTCCTGGAATGGTCCCTTCCTGGAATGGTCCCTTCCCGATCTGGTTTGGTCCTTGGGCTGCTAAACCTGGTAACCCTTTTGGCTGAGGTTACGGGTTCTTTCTGCTACGGTAGTCTATCAATTTTTCAATAGACTTTGGCTTTGGACTCTCTGGTTGACTATTTGCTCGGGACTGCTTCTCTCTTTTGTTACTCTGAGACTGGTAGTGTACATGGCTGCTGTACACGGCTGCTACTGGTGGTCCCTATTGACTCATTACTGGGAATGGCCTCTTTCATTGAACCTTAGTCCATTCCATATGAATTATTTGGTCCCTTTTTTCCGCATTTGACTCCATGTTCTTCCTGCTGTGGATTTGGCTCCCACAGACTCAAAATGGACCCAACATCATGTCAAGCTCCATTGGCGGTATAACTCATGCCCTCTGAAAGCTTGGTGGTACTGGTTGGCCCCTTGATTTTGGATTTAGATGTAGCAGTCTCTTTGTAGCCTTGGATTCTGGAGTCCTGGAATTCGGCCAATTCTCTGCCGTGGATCGTGGAACTCTGGGGTCCCTTGGTACGGTCCTGGATTTTGATAACTATCACGATTTGGACTTCGTGATCATCCTGGAAACGGTGCTGATGGTGACTCTGGCAAAGGTAGTACGGTGTTGACCTCTTCTTCTTTCTTCTTTTCCTTCTTTTTTCTTTTTCTTCTTCTTGTGCAGTGGCAACGTCTTTTGATTACCCCTATGACAAAATTATTATTTACATTTCAGGTTTTCCAGCAAAAAAACAAATCTTTTATACAAATTTCCTTAATTACCCCAAAAGCACATTTACAGTTACGAAAACAAATATGTTTTATAATATACCAAAATTATTTTTTAATAATGAACTAGAAAACGTTATTTATTTTTAAATCTCTATCTCGCAATTATTTATATTTACTATGAATATTGAATTTCAAAACATTGTAACTAGAATATATTTTTTTTTGAGTAGGTAGCATTTTCTAATTCTCTGAGACTTACGCTCAGTCGGGTTCGGACTAAGGTCCAGAACTTTCGCCCCTCGGGCGAAACCCTGGTTTTTTTATTGTAAAGTAATGTGTAAAGTAATGTGTAAAGTTTTTGTGTACGATGTGAATTATGGGTAAATATTTTAACTTAATTTTGTTTAATAATAATTGATTTACATATAAATGCCAATTTTACATTTTCGTCCCG